TGAAAGCTCCTTTAGTGCCATAAGATGCCATTCATCTGATCCCGAAGACCTGATTTCATGTAGAGTAATTATGTATTCCTTTAGTAGTTCTTTGGCTATTTGGTGCTACAATCCTTTACAGCAATATCTTTTCTATTTTCAGCAGGTTGATATTATTTTGCTTTTGGGAGAAGACCAACAAAGTACATTCTGAAGAGCACCATCTTTTCTGACCTCATTGGTACTTCAACATGTTTACTATTCTAAATTATCCTTGAGGTGGTGGTCAGCCCTCCACATTTGCTAAGGTTAGGAGCATAAAAACTCTGTAAAAATGAAAAATTAATAAAAATAAAAAAGATAGACATTTTTCTGAGGAAACATATCGCTAAAGATCTCTAGGTTCTCCGGTGGTCAACTTCAGGCAGAGTTTGCCTATAGAATCACACTGGAAGACCTAGAGATTCCTAGAAATATCTGGATTCTCCATCATTACTCTATCATCATCTTCCAGTGGAAGCTGATCATAGAATTTCACTGGAAGACATTGAGCTTCTACAGATAACATTTTAATGAAATCCATGGATAATTAAATCCACAAAGGTGGATGGGCAACCGTACAGATAGCCTTTTTTGAGTCCTTTAAGTAGTTTGCCAAACTCAAGTTTGAAAATAGATTTCTTCATTGGTATGAAAGCTAGATTCAACAGCCAATCCAGTGAGCTCCTGTATGCACTACCTGGTCCTCCACCTCGGGCAGCTCTTGGACTGGCTCCCCTCCATCTCCTACTACTCACCTTTCCAGCTGCTGTAGAGAGGTTTTCATAGACTTGACTTGTTGGAAATGACAGGACATGTCAGTGGCCAGAACCATTTCGATCACAAGCGACCGGAGCTCCCTGTGCAACATGAAGAAGGGGTGAGAAAAGGTCTCACATTCACTTGCACTCTTCTTGTCTATTTCAGCTTCTGCCTCAACCACATCTCTGCATATTGTTTTTAGATATATTGAAGAGGGAAGTACATTTGCTCCATTCAGTTCTCACCCAGGGCCATATCTAACTATCAAGGAAGACTCTTCCAGCCTCCAAGGGATTTGCTCTTTCTGAAAATGGTGCACACAAATCAAAAAATGCCTGAGATAATCATGTTGTGGTTCCTAACTGCCTGTAATAATGACTACCATCTTTCACCTTGCCTCCACAAAGGCTTCTGAGAGCACCAAATAATGGTAAAGTCACATAAGACGGCATACTTTGACATGTTGTGTGTCTGATGATCATATATCTTCCCACTGACTGTTTTGCTGCAGGAGGAAGCCTTTATAACTACAGTTTTCCCAGCAAGACCTCAGGAGGTGGAATATGTTTAACAGAGTGAGTCTGCCAAGTTCTATCCCATTTTTCTCTTTTGTCAATTCTGCCGATGAATGGGTTCAACACAGCAGCGATCATCACTGCAGCTCTTAAGCTCAGAGTATCTCAGCCTGGAGAGGAGTTCTGTAGAATTCAAAAGCTTGCTTCCACTTTATCTCAAGGCGCAATGGAAAATAATGGAGCACTTTGAAATAGGGACTCCTAGTTAGAGTGGTCGGAGAGTAATGCATACTTCACCTATTCCTTAACTGAATTGATTTTTTAAATGATGGTAGTGTGAAAGTCATAGTCCACATGCAAAACCAACCTCAAGGGGTAGTCTGACTTTACTTTAACTTGAGATTTGCACAGTTTGCCTGTCTTACAACTTCTTCCTTTGGAAACACAGTGTTGGCAGTTAGGATGTGAGTAAGGGAGGCCACAACCATGTGTTGGAAATATGAAGCTACTAGGGTTGCCAGTCTAGGTTTCAGGGCCAAAAATCTGTCCTTGGGGGATTTTAGATAGATGCTGTTGATATCACATCACAATGCACATAGCAGCCATAATTGCTTAGAGTTTGTCATTTAAATAATGACTCCTGACTCTAAAAAATGATAAAATATTTCTCTGATTGAAAAGTAAGTTTTCCAACCGAACAGAAGAAATGCATACCCTCCTCTGTTATTAACAGCACTACTTTTAAGATTATAGAGTATGAATAGGAAAGGTTGTTGGTTAACCAGTGTATGCATGTCAGAGTTTAAATAAAATTAATTAATGACCTTGTCTCAAACCAAAAGGCACTTATTAGACTGGCAAGGATAAACTGTGACACTCTGGATGTTGCTCTCATCAGCTACAACAACCATTACTAAACCTCAAGGATGGTAGTAGCTATAATCCTATAACACTGGAGAGCCACAAGTCTCTACCCTAGACAAGACATTAAATGCACCCAAATGTAGTAGGGTGTTCTTCCAAACAATTTATCACAATTAGACAAGACTCCCAATTCATAAACACTTTGTCTGACTTTCCTCTAAGATCGTGGACTATATAAGCAAGCCCACCTCCCCATCCCAAGGGAAAGTCTTCCTCAGCTAGCATGAGCCCTGTGCTTCCTTTATGGTGGGGGTCAGTATATGGGGCCAAGAAGAAGCCTCACGTAAATTCGTCCTTGTTCAGGTTGACAAGGACGTTCATCTCATCATCTTGCATCATGCGGAAGACGGCACTGATATGGTGGTTCTCTAGCACTGAACGGTCATTGTATAAAATGGCCGTATCAGACCTGGAAGAGAAGTCAGAAACAAAAGAGTTTAGACCCAGCTTTAGCTATACAGATGTCAAGGACATGTCCACACAGTCTTGTTTGGGGACCCAGTGAATTTACTGATATTTTACTGCTGCTCACACCATCCACATGTACAACAAAGTTCAAGTATGTAATTATACTGACCCAGATATAATGGCAAGAATGGACAAACCTATATGGATTCGATGCTACCTACATGGCTGTTTTTTGTACACTTCTCACCTTGATGATGCGTATTTCATAACTCTTTTACAACTTCTCTAATTTCCAGTGTGAAACTGTCATTAAGAAATATCAAAGGTAGTCCCAAACTGCCACTTATAGATTCAATCGTGTGTTATTACTATCCACAACGTCTGAGCATGACAAGGTTTGTAGTTTGAAAATACCAGGATGGATAAGATACAGAACTAAGTTTTTCAAAAAAAAAAATCAAGCTCTTCCACATACAGTAGAGTCTTCCTTATCCAACATTCTGTCTTATCCAACGCTCTTATCCAACGCGCCCGTTTTCCTTCAGCATTTCCCCTTCAATTAAAGGAGTGCTCCCCAACTCCCCATTCCCAATAAGTGAAAAAGGCAAGTCAAGGAGGAGGAGGAGGGAGAAAAGGGGGAAAAGAGGCAGGACTGGAGGTGTCCTCCCTCCTTTCCTCTGTGATTTCCACACTGCTCTTCCGCATCCAGGCACTTCCTGCTGGGCTGCCCTAGCCCCAAGGTGTTGCCATGCCATAACCCTCTGAGTCCCTGTTGTTAGTAGTCTAGGTGTCTAGTACCACATAGGCTGGGTAACAGTAGGAGACTCCATATTATCTGACATTTTTGCTAATCCGACATTCTACCAGCCCAAGATTCTACTGTATTTGTCCATATAGCTCAGTTTCTGAGTGATAGTGGTTCTCAAAGGCATTAAAAGAGATTTTCTCCAGTATATACTACTTTAACTTAATATGTGAGGAATTAAATGTGGGACTTCTGCATGCAAATCATATGCTCTGACATCAAGCTCTGGTCTCTCGGTAATATGGCCTTCCAGATGATTTGGACTGCAACTCCCAACTAGCAGGCATATGCAATGGTGAAGGATGCTGGGCCTTGCTATCTACCAACATCTGAATGACCACACTTTTAACATCCCTGCTCTATAAATAATATGTGTTATCCCTTTAGGCCCATGATGGCGAACCTATGACACATGTGTCAGCACTGACACACGTAGCCATTTTCGATGACACACGGTCGCATGCGGCCGCATACAGAGTAGATGGGGCCACATCCCAAGAAGGACATTTCATCCTTGGCTCCTACACCAGCATTTTTCTATAATGCCGAGATATATGGCATTGTAGAAAAAGCAGGTAAGTTAAATAATTAGTTTTTGGTTTATTAAATACAGTTACATATTACAATAATATATTTTTGTTATTAAACTATAAATATCATGAAATTACGTTTTTTTCTCAAAGTGACACCCCACCCGAGTTATGCTTGTTTTTTTGGCAAGTATTGACACACCAAGCTCAAAAGGTTGCCCATCATTGCTTTAGGCACTCATACACATCTAATTATTCATAGTGCCTCATAATCTTCTCCTAAGCCATCTGTACTCACTTGGTCTGGATGTGGAAACTGTTGGTGGTACCCGTGTGCTCATAGTCATGAATTGCAGCTGCAAAGATCATGGCCAAGATCTCTATCTCTGTCAGACAGTGCTGTAGAGGAAGGCAGAGATAAGAAATATTGTCAGGCAATTCCTTTGCCTACCAACATGAATGTCATTAGTGTTAGCAAGTGAAAACTGGAGAGGGTTTCTATATCTGGTTGTGTAAAAGAAGGAATGTTGCCAGGTGATAGTTACCATGTAACAATGATTGCTGGTAGGCCTGTGCGGTTTCGTTCGTTAATTCGTTAATTCGTTATTAATTCGTTATTTTTGGCATTTCCGAAGCGATATTGAAACATATTACCAAACCCGGAAGGGTTTTTAAATATCGAACCAGCAACCCCATAGTTTTAACGAGCCTCCGCTCGTTTCGTTAATGGGGTGGAGGCTGCTGGAGTGCTGGTGCCTGGGAGCCAATCCGGCGCTCCCAAGCAGTGCACCATGGGTCCGTGGCTGTCTGTTTTTGATTGGCCGGCGAGCCCTTTCAAAGCGGCTCCGCGCGGCCGTAGCTTGCTGCAGAGGGCGAGGGAGTTTGCATTGGGTTGGCTTGGCTGCTAGCAACTGGATTGGATTCATTCCTTGCTGCTGTGAGTGCTGCTTGCTTCATTTGCTGTCTCTTGCCTGTGTTTGGTCCACATTTGGGCCATTTTTTGGTTAATTTTCCATTTTAAAATATTTTTAATATTATTTTTAATATTATTTTTTAATATTATTTTTTAATATTTTTTAATATTATTTTTTAATATTATTTTAATATTATTCTTAAAAAATATTCTAAAAAAGAAAAGACTCTTCTGTTGGTGTGTGCTCTCATTTGCTGTCTCCTGCCTGTGTTTGGTCCACATTTGGGCCATTTTTTGGTTAATTTTCCATTTTAAAATATTTTTTAATATTATTTTAATATTATTTTTTAATATTATTTTAATATTGTTCTTAAAAAATATTCTAAAAAAGAAAAGACTCTTCTGTTGGTGTGTGCTCTCATTTGCTGTATCCTGCCTGTGTTTGGTCCACATTTGGGCCATTTTTTGGTTAATTTTCCATTTTAAAATATTTTTTAATATTATTTTAATATTATTCTTAAGAAATACAAAAAAATTCTAAAAATTCGTTAATATTTACAAAATTTCTTAAATACCAAAACTTTTTTTTGGAAAGTTTTGTAATTATTTTAAATATCGAAACAAAAAAACACCCCAATTACAAATCGATTTTAGAAACAAATTTTTTCTTGATCAAACAGGCCTAATTGCTGGAATTCCTTTTTCTATGGAACCAGTAGAGATACAAGGAATACTTTCAATCTTAAATGCAATGAAGAGGGAGTGGGACTGCATCCGTTTGAATGGATCCTCATTGTTTTCACATCTCTGCTCGTACTACCAGTCACAGAAGCACTAACTCAGGAACTTCATTTGCAGAAGAAATCTGAGGGCCCTTCCACACAGCCCTATATCCTAGAATATCAAGGCAGAAAATCCCACATTATCTGAGTGTGGACTCAAATAACCCAGTTCAAAGCAGATATTGTGGGATTTTCTGCCTTGATATTCTGGGATATAGGGCTGTGTGGAAGGGCCCAGAGTCAGTCCTACTGTAGGGTGGAGCAATGTTGCAGCATTAGGTAGAATGTTGTGAAAGATAGGTTGTTTAATTTGGTATTATTATGCAGTTTTGTAATTGCTTGTAGGGTTCCCTGACTCTTGTGCCAAAATAACATTGTTGGTTTTAGGTAGTCTTCCCCTTGACTTCAGAGGTGAAGACACTGTTCCTTGCTTTGCTTTGAGCAGCAGAATGTCTTGGACTGGCTATGGAAGCTGTTATTCTTCAGGCCAAAAGTTTTCACCTGCTTTGCTTCCAGAAAATTAGAGGAAAATGTTATAATGGATGGAATAATATCTATCTGCCCTACTTAGTAACTTTGCCCTCTCATGTGCAAATCTTCTGTGTAATTGGACAATACCATGTCTTATCACTGGATCAACACTAGAAGTATAAATAACTTTGCTGTCCCCTATGGACACTACAGATTTACCAGGGTACACATTTCTGTGAAGGAGAGAGCCCTTTATCATCCTTTCTGCTTTTGATGAATTAGGCTCTGACTCACCAACACTTAATGTCATGGTGAGTAAAGCTTGTTATACAGTCTGCAACTCCCCTGTCACAATAGTTCTGCTGAATACCAATCCTCTTCAAGGCACAATTTAAAAGGCTGATTATACCCCCCCCCCCCCGAAATACAACTTAAGAAACCCTGCATGGGTCATTTGAAAGACGAATTGTCTACCGAAGTCTTCCCAAGTTTTATTTTATTTTCTAAGTTTCTATACATTGAAACCAAACATTTTAAACACAATATACTAAACTACAGTACTTACTTACATAAGGCCTACAAAAATTATAGTAGAACAGGGGTGTGTGAATGTGTGTTCAGGGCCCTTTCCAAACAGCTGAACAAACTCTAACATTATCTGCTTTGAACTGGAATATATGGCAGTGTGGACTCAGATAACCCAGTTCAAAGTGGATATTGTGGGATTTTTTGCCTTGATATTCTGGGTTATATGGTTATGTGAAAGGTCCCCAAGTTTTAAGTGCCTCAGAGAAAAAATAATATACCCATTCTGCTATCATAAAAAAAAACTCTTGAGAAAGATGCAAAAAAGAGAGCCTTCTTGGTGGTTGCTCCCAATGGATTGGTGGAACTCCCAGTCAATTGATGCGAAGGCAACTGCTTGTCTTCTGATAACCAAAAAGTACGTTTTTATCCTGTCATGTGTTTCCACAGCCATTCACTTGTTATAAGATTTATTTGTCAAATGGCTTCATGAAATAGCTGCTTAGGGTACAGAGCCTCTATCAGAACCAACAAATGGCAACAAGAGGCAGAGCAGGAGATAGCAAGATAAGAGTATATTTAAGGAAATGTTGACTATGACAACTTTTCCAAAACCTGTCATTATGCAAAACCAAAAGAGGCCACAAGATGTCACTGTGTTGTTCACAGATATAATTAATCATAGATGGTATTGGGCTATTCTTTTTTTCCAAGAGTTTTTTTCCCCATAGAGTTACATGAAAGATGCTTCAGATACCAAAATAATGTGTAGAATCTTGTTGGTTAGTACTAACTAGTGTAGACCGATTGACTTAATTATTGTATGGTAAATCAATATATAGGTAAAACCCACTGAGTCCATGGGTCTACACTAAGCACAATTAATGATAGGATTTATGTCTGGGACTTAGGATACTGTCATAGGAGCTCCTTCTGAAAAACAAGTTCAAAGAACCTCACATTAATTATTCAGATTAGACTCGCACTGGATTGGCTAGTCCCCATTGTGACCTTACCACCATGCCAGTGCGGAGCAGGAAGCAGTGTACAGTCTGAGTAACATCAGCAGCGTGTATCTGGTTGTGGTAAGGGTTCTTGTATTTCCCATAGCCAGCCTCCAGTGCATCCAGGAAGGTCATAAGGTACGCCGTGGGGATCTGCAAGAAGATAGTGTGGCATTAGACTAGATCTGAACCAGAGCTAGATATAAATGGTGGCTTCTTACAATGTGTCAGACCTCTGGCCCATAGAGCTCAATGCCAAACAAACAGACTTCAAGTTATTTCCCAAACAGACAGAGATGTTTCCAAGCATTAGCAGAAGATGCCAGGGAATCATGAACCACAAGAATCATTTAGTCCAACTATTGTACAGAATACCAAAAAAACAGGAATGTCAGAGATGTGCCTGAAAAAGCCATCCCTATGTACAATGCGGGCATGACAATAAGGTTCCCAGACACAGAGTTGTGCACAACTCTGTAACCTTCCCTACCCCCACCCCCACCCCCACCCCCTATTCTCAATAAAATATTATGGGGGAAAATAAGGTTCCCAGTCAGGCCATCTAAGATTCACTAAAGTCCTCCAGATCTCAGTGAATGATATTGTTAGTTTGCATCTGGCTATGGCAACATGGCAGGCATTCCTCCCACACACTTTCTGTGTCACTCCACCAGCAACAGAATTGCTATCACAGTGCAGTGGTAAACCAAATGCTCCCACTCTGCAAGACTAATGGAATGGCTTAAGGACAGAAGGGCTTTGTTAGCTCTTTGGTATGTCATGGTGATTCATTGTTGTAGGCTGTTGAAAGAATGCCAATCTTTGGAATAACCCAAAAAAGACATATGCAGGTATATTGTGGACGCCCCACTACATATACCAGTAATAGGATTCCAGCCGTTATTCCTTACCTTAAAACGGCTGTTGAGATTGTGGCGGGTGAGCAGTTCAAAGACTATTGTGCGTAGGGCATGGTCCTCACTCACTTTATTCAGTGCAAAGACATCGAAAAACCAGAGGTCAAGAGTCTACCCAAGACAAGGAACAAACAGAAGTTCACATTTGGTCATTACCATCAAGCAAGGAGAGTGGTCCACAATAACCAGAAATTGCCCACAAAGAAAGTAGCATAACTCTAATAATCATCATAATCATTATCATCTTTATTTATAACCCACCACCATCTCCCCAAATGGGACTCGGGGCGGCTAACAACTCTTGTGACACCTGAAAGAACAACACAGTTTATTTTTCAGAAGCTTCTGTGTACTCCCGTCTACTTTATCAGGTGCATGATATGGACCATCTCTGTACAAATGTTTCTGCTAAATAATACCTGCTAGTCTTTAATGTGCCATAAGAGGGCCCTTTCAGACAGGTCATATATCCCAGGATCTGATCCCAGGTTATCTGTTTATCCCATATTATCTGGCAGTGGAGACTCATATAATCAGGTCTAAAACAGAAAATCTGGGATTAGGTCCTGGGATATCTGGTCTTACTGGAAGGGCCCAGAGTCTTGTTGGCTTTGCTGCAACAGTTGTTGAAGGGTGTTGGCAGTTGTTTTTCCCAGCTCATCAAATTTTATAATCCTGCCACTTGCCTTTCTATTGTTTCTCGAATTAATCCCTTTCTGGATTACGTTTCTGGGCCTCGGGCTGATTCACAATTATGGCAGCTAGACTGTCATATGCCCAGAATTGGAAGAATACATAGAGAAAGAATTGATAGTAAAACAGAATGAGCTAGCAGAAATGGATAGATCATCCATTTTGATTAGAGAAAAATCACTAGAAGCTTTTTAAAAGTCTGGAAACCTTTTGTAGATTGTTTAAAGGCATAAAAATGAATTCATAACTCTTGATTTTGAAAATTATAATAGGATACATGACAACTTTCAGTAATGCATTACATAACAGTATCATTAAATTATTATTGCTCTTGAAATAAAATTTGGAAGTTACTGCATTTTTCTCATCTTTTTCTATCCAATTATTTTCTTTTTTCTTCTTTTCTACCCTTTTTAATTTTTTTACTTTTGTGTGCATTTTAGTGTGTCAGGTAAAACTCTAATAAAATATAAGTGGAATTAGAGTACAAAAATAGGGCTTTGGGGAAAGATATCCCTCCATTTCTTCACTCTGTAAAATTAGTTCATACAGCAGAGAATGAGTTGAGGACACGGACAACTGTAACTTTTTAAGAATAACCCAAAACAACAACTCCTTAGAGGCCCAATTGGTGCCAACTCTAACTTCATTTTTGCACCTATTTAAAATGCATCTTTTTTAAGCAAAGCCTTTGGGAGCGAGTTTTTGAACATATCTGCCCTAGTATATGGTTTAAAACTATTTTAATGAATTTTACTTGTTCAGTTCTGTAGCATGCATCAGGCTGTTTTAAATCATTAGTACTGTTTAGTAAATTATTTTAGACTGGTATAATAATATATTGCCCTGAGATTGATATAGAGTGGGATATAAATATTTTAATGAATGTAAATAATAAATAAAACCCTGGAAAGACAATAAGAATTCTCGCAAGTTGAAGAAAAAATAGAGATCAGGATTCAAATCTAGATTCATCCACTTGGGAGAGAATATGATATCAACAAGAAATAACAGACATACGTTGTAATTTTGGGATCATGCAGTTCTCCTAATGTTGTTGGACCAAAATTCCCAGTGGCCCTAACCAGCATAGTCAATAGTAAAGAATTTGGGAGCTGGAAGGTCCCACCATTTCCTATCATGCTGTAAGTCAACAACCACTTTCACTCTCCAGAAGTTTTGTTACCTTCAGGCAGTTGATGACTGACTGAGAATAATTGGGCCCCACAGCCGTGTACGTCCGACGGAACATCCTGCAATGTAGATAACAACTAGTTAGGATGTTTTGGGAGATTTAGATTACCTGCCCATGGTGACATGATTCCCATGAACAGATTGCAACCAACCTTCTTAAAGCTGGGTACAAATAAAGAAGTGCACTGGATCATAAAACCCAATATATTCCACCAGCATTCAATCTTTCCAAATTCAATTTCACAAGCAAATTGCAACTGGCTCCAAACCAATAGGAAAGCTAATATTCTCCAGGTATTTGAGATTCCCAGAATTAGTCATTATCACTGGGAGTGATGGGTATTGCAAGCCAAAACTACATTTTTCACCTTATACATTACTTTAACCTGCACCATACCTATCTAGATCAGTCCCCCCACCCCCTTTCTATTCCCCACTCTCACTCAGAATCACAGAATCTTACAATTGAAAAGCTCCATAAAGGGCCATCTAGTCTAAACCCACAGTTGCAGGAGTCCTAAAGGTTGCCCATTCAACTTTTGCTTGAAAACCTCCTAAGAAAGTACAACATTTTCTAAGTCAGCCTATTCCACTATCAAACAGCTGTTCCAGTATAGAAGTTCTTCCTAATGTTGAAAGAGAACCTCTTTTATTGTAATTTGAAACAACTGATACATGTTCTAATCTCTGGAGCAGCAAAACACAAGTTCACTCCATCTTCTACATAACTTTCTCCTTCTAGTTCAAAAAATATAGCTAGGTAACCTGTTACAATCACCAATAAAAATTTCCTTGGGGAGCATGTCTAATCTCCTGGACTTGGCTGAAGTATTAAACAATGGAAGACCATCTCCAACCCCATTTGAAGCTGCCTCCTTCCCTCATACCTCTCCAGAACAGGGGCTCACCACTGCAGTCAGAGTACAAACAAAAAAGGAAGCAACTTTGCTAAGCCATATCAGCAAATCGCGTAGTTTACCATCACAACCAAGGTAGAAGTTGCATAAGTCTAATGCACTTTAATTGTTCGTTATAAGTAATAGAATCATAGCATCACACAAGTGGAAGAGACCAAAAGGGCCATCCTTTCCAACCCTCTGCCAGGCAGGAAAATGCAACGAAAACACTCCCGACAGATGGTGATGAGACCAAACCAGACTGATATAATTTGCATTAAAACTGGGATACTCCCAAAAATAAATTAACCTTCCCAGCCTCCCAAAAGCTAATGTGAAAATTAAAGCTAAGATGACAGAGAGACCTGGAAAGAGCTGCACATGAAATCCTTCACCACAATCTGTAGCCACCTCAAGGAAGAGAGTGAGATCCTGACCTTTCCACAAAGATGCCAGCTTGGACGGCATGGACAATGCTGCGGAACTTGGGCTTCTCCTCAGAGCGGCGTCCCTTGGCACGGGTCTGCTGGGTGAAAGTCGAGGCCAACCAGTCCCGCACCTCCGAGGGGACTGCATCTGACTTGATTTCCTGCAGCTCATCTTCCGTGTCCAGAATCTGCCTGGAACAGGAATAGAGCCACAAAGAGGAAAAAGATAGACAAGAAACATGTCAGTGAGAGAGATACTGAAAATGAATGCAAAGCTTTCACAGACAAGAACTCAAGAAAAGCACTCAAAATAAATTTGAAACAGCAACAATGTTGAAAAAAGTTTCTGATCTTGCAAGTTCCTGTAAAAACATTATTATTATTATTATTATTATTATTATTATTATTATTATTATTATTATTATTGCTATCTTTAAAGTCTTCTGATCTTCTTTTGAAAGACCATAGCAGTCTCCCCAGACCCTGCATCTCTTTGTGACCCAATGACACTTGTGGTTACAGCAACACTTCTTTCTTGCATGCCTCCATAACTGGGACTAGAGGCAAGTCACTCCCTGCCATCCAAACCCTCTGGCCTCACCTGGTCTCATCGATGTATACCGCTTCCAGCAATGAAGCAGTATATTCCAAATTCTTCTTCAGCTCATCGATATTCACTTCTCCTGTCTCCAGTTGTTTCACCATGTACCGCAACCTGCCAAAACCAAAAAGAACACATCGTGAGAATGATTAAAGAGGTGGGGTCAATCCAATCATATCAGAATTTTAAAAAGATTGCCTTCCCAGGCTACATCTCCCAAAACAGGCTCTGGGAACTACAATCCAAAGAAAGAAACTTTTCCAAACTCAGTTTCCCCTGCAGTTGACCCAACAGCAAAACAGTGAAGCTAGGCCATAGTATTTATGATAGTAGGACTGTACAATCCAAAGACCATTCTATACATCTCACGACTTAAAGATGCTCAAATACTGCAAAATGCAACATAAGGCCTTTTCTGTAGCAGCACCCCAAATCTGGTATTCTATGCCATATGAAGCAAAATTGTTTGCTTCATTATTGTGTATGTAGCAAAGGCTTTCTGTTCTGCCAGGCTATTAATGTTGTTTACTTTGCTTCCAGCATATTAACTTTAGTGTGAACAGTCTACATATGGCAAGCAGGCCAGTCTCTGCACCAGAGGATAAATGGACAAACACCAGGCATTATGAATAAACAAAAAAAAAGAGCTGTAGGACACTTTAGTCTTCCTGGCCATTCCAACTCTGACCTTCGAACAGCTGTCCTTGAACAATGAACAACAGCAAAGGAAGAATGGATAGAGAAGCGGCTGAATATCTCCACAGACTCAAAACCATTGAGAGTGATTTGAATGAAGATGATAGTTTCCTGATCCACAACATTATCCTAGCCTCATGAGAGCCCCATTGGACAGTTTTTCACATATCCTTTCCAGTTCCCAGCCAACATCACATCACAATCCAGTAACGCCCGCCACCATTCATCTGGTTATCTACTTCCCTTGGCTTTAGGCAACATCTTCACTTCTGTATTCATCTCCTCACACACTCACACACAGCGCAATTACCATTTCAAAAACTGAATTAGTCAGCCCAGCACCAAACCCACAAGTTTTGTATCTCTATGAATATTCAAACACACAGCCTGCCTATAAAGGTCTGTTATTCAGAGGCACTTGAGTCCTTGCAACTGAGGAAGTAGAACTAGTCTACAACAGACAACTAGTCTACAAAAACCAAGTATAACATTCTTTCTGTTAGTTTTGACGGTGCCACAAGATCCCTTTGCACATTCATTTTAATGCCATTCGCATTAAAATGTGGGGGAGAGGCTTTTTTGTTATTGCATTTCTTGGTTTTACATTAAGTTCAACTCTTCAATCAATTCTAACATTTATTTTGCATCACCTTAGGCAGCAGGTAGGCAGAGCATATCATTTATAAAGGTATCAAATAAATGCATACATAACCAAATAGCATTAAATATACACGCTGTAGGTACAAATCTTTGAAATGTAATGGCCACTTATGTGGGCAAAAATCAATTTCAGGAGAAAGAATTTCATTTAGGTAGAAAGGGGACTGTAGAAGAAATTTTATGTGGGTGAGGAATGAGACTAACTACACATTTACCTTCATTAAATAGTTCTGCCTAAAGAAATGACCATTGTTATAGAAATTGCCCTGCAATCTGTTCTTCCTCCCCAAAGCTGCCTCGGGCTGCAACGTCAGCTACAAGTATATATCTACACTGTAGAATTCATGCAGTCTGAAAACACTTTAACTGCTATGAGTCAATACTATGGAATCCTGGGAATTGTAGTTTGATGAGGCACCAGCACTCTTTACCAGAGAGCAACCTATAAAACAACTCCCGTGGTCCAATAGCATTGAGTCACGACGGTTAAAGTGGTGTCATCTGCTTTAATTTTACAGTGTAGATGCATTCCCAATTAGACCCCTTCCACACAGCTGAATAAAAACCCACATTATCTACTTTGAACTGGAATACATGACAGTGTGGACTCAGATAACCCAGTTCAAAGCTGCTATTGTGGGGTTTTCTGACTTGATATTCTTGGTTACATGGCTGTGTGGAAGGGCCCTTAGTCACAGACTATAGCTGAATCTACACTACCCTATATCTCAGGATCTGATCCCCGATTACCTGCTTATCCCAGATTTTCTGGCAGTGTAGACTCATATAATCCAGTTCAAAGCAGTGTAGATCCAGCCTATGCAGACACTGAATCAAAAAAGCACTAAGAATATCTGTGTTATCCAAAAGAGTAACACTAAAGCATGATAGGGAATCATTGAGCTTTCAGGCCCTTCCACACAGCCCTATGTCCCAGAATATTAAGGCAGAAAATCCCACAATATCTGCTTTGAACTGGGTTATCTGAGTCCACACTCAGATAATGTGGGATCTTCCGCCTTGATATTCTGGGATATAGGGCTGTGTGGAAGAGCCCTTCCAGATACTGTTAACTGAAACTCCCAGCAGTCTGATTAATTGTGATGAATACAGTATTGGGAGATGGAGTCCAACAACATCTGGAAAGAAGAATAATTCCCAATTGTAAAACAGTGTTAGTTTAGCTGGAGGACAGAGGGATTATCAGCACCCAGGAAGGGTTTCTTCAAGAAGAATATCGCATCCTCCTGAAGGAAAAATGGCAGAAGACCAGTGTGGCACAGCTATTTAAAAACCAGACTAGGGATAAAACTAGATGATGCTATATTGAACAGGTAGCAAACAAGGGGGTCTGCTTTATTATTCCCAAACAAGCATGGGAATAGTCTCAAACAGGGCAACTGCATAGGGTAGACCTTAACAGCGCCAATATTCCTCTCTCAGTTGGTTCTCTCCACACAGATGCAGAGAGCCCTAAAAAAGACTATTCTTATACTGTTTCAGATCATGTATTTTTTTTTTGCTATGGCAATTTTAATGGTTTGTTGCAAAGGCTTAAGGTAAGCTTAAACATTAGGGCTACTATAGAGGTACTCTATTAGAACACAGTTTTTTAAAAAGGTAAGATGTCTCAAATACTGCATATTACATATCACTCAGTTATGGAATTCACAGACAGACCATGGGCCAGTCACTCTTTCATTCACTGTGATTTACTTCATAGAGTTTAGGTTGTCTGAATGCTACCCTAACCCCCGTGGAGTAAAAACAGAACAAGCATTTATAAAACAATTTATACAGATTTTTTTTTCCTGCCCTGCTTTAAATCTTTTCAGTCTGACCTTAGCAACTTCTGCATTGTTCCATATTCATCTGAGTGGGGAACAAAAATCTGAAAATGGAGCAAGCTTCCAAACCAGTATGAAAAACATCTTTGCCTCAATCTGACTAGAATAGCTCAAATCATATTTGGTTCCCATTCATCAATTTTTGTTGTTGATGTTTGGCACTGCTGTTCAAACAAAACTGAAAGCCAGGGCCATTCCACACAGCCCTATATCCCATAATATCAAGGCAGTAAATCCCACATTATCTGCTTTGAACTGGGTTATCTGAGTCCACACTCAGATAATGTGGGATTTTCTCCCTTGATATTCTGGGATCTCGAGCTGTGTGGTTGTTTAAGGCCCCATCTACACTGTAGTGTAGATGGGGCCTTAAACAACCACACAGCTCTAGGCACATTGCAGCAGGGATGAAACTCACCTACCAAGTGCAGGGAATTTTAAATCCCATTTACTCTGCCATATAATGCAGTTTGTACTACATTAAATTGCAGTGTACTACATTAAATTGCAGATTCAACTGGATTATGAGTCTACACTGCCATATAATCCAATTCAACCTGATTATATGGCAGTGTAGACTCATAATCCAGTTGAATCTGCATGATATGAGTCTACACTGCAATTTAATGTAGTTCAAACTACATTATATGGCAGTGTAAATGGGATTTAAAATTCCCTGCACTTGGTAGGTGAGTTTCATCCTTGCTGCAATGTGTCTACCTGTCCTGCAGGGGGCTCTCCTGCACCAAGAGCAAAAGACAAATTCAACCCAATTCATCTCTGGGCAGCTGTGAACACTGTTGCTAGTTAATAACAGGCCATCAAGCTCTGTTGGATATTGAGTCCTTAATGATTCATTGCCAGGTAATCAGCCTTATTGGAATGCATGCAAGTCACAATGGAACAATGCCAGTGCCTCTTAAACCTGCAGAGGAACTGAATAGAAAGATCAACAAATGGACTAATCATCAAAGCTCAATTACCTTTTCATGACTAGATAATTGCATGCTAATACACAAAAGCAAGAAATCCTGGGCTGTCCAAATGATGTTGGGTTCGAACATTAGCCAGGTCTGATGAGAGTTAGAGTCCAATGATATCTAAATGGAAGCCAGATTGTCCTCAGGAAAACACAGGAGCACCACAAAAATGGGAGCCCTCAAGCTGAGTTTTCCAGCTTGGTACAAACAAAGGTACACTTGTTCTGACATCATAGAACTACACTTCCCAATGGTGTGAAGGGGGCAGTGGGGAAACAGATATACGGAATATGATGGTATTAGAACAGGGAACTATGCTGCGCCATGCAAATGCTGCAGAAGAGGAGCGGAAATTTTGATACACAGGGCTGCCCTTTTCAAAAACTGCCCTACGTTTCTCCTAAGATGCTCTCCTGCCCTCAGAAACGAGAAAATATTAACCCGCCCACACTCCCATTTTTCTTCTCTTACTGTGATGTCAGAGGCAATATATTGTTCTGGCTACGGCTAACCTTTCCTTTGTTACAGTGGATTGATATTTCAACAGTAAATGAGCACAGATGGCTGCATAAGGTTGCGAGTCTCTCTTTAATATTCTTCAGAGCTACCTGTCAGAGCCATGCAGAAAAGCTGAAGAAAGCTGCCCAGAATGGGAGACACAGAATAAATGCACACCAGAGAGAAGTTTTGTCTTGGGTTTCACTTATAAATGTCACTACTATCAACGTGAGAGAGCAAAGGAGCAAGGAAGGATGGAGAGCTCCTAACTGGTGAAACCAAGCAAAGTTGTGAGCCCAGGTACATGAAAATTGTTTTCACAACTGGCCCATCTAATTCAGAACTCCCAACTCAGGCTTTCAGAAGTGGCTCTCTAGAGCAGTGTTTCTCAACCTTCCTAATGCCGCGACCCCTTAATACAGTTCCTCATGTT